GAAGGGTTTTAAAGCCCCTCTTCGCCCCCCCCCCCCCAGGCCAGCTGGGGAAGGGAAGGGGAGGCTTTTGAAGATGCTTCCCCCCCTTTTGCTTCCCCTTCTGACATCACTTCCAGTGATGTCAGGGGGCGTTGCATATGCTAATGAGCTATTATGCTAATGACCTAGCAACTCATTAGCATACCATATGCTAATGAGCTCCTGCAGCTCTTTTTCTACAAAAAGACCCCTGAAGATCAATATACCCAGCTGAATAGAGATTCCAACTTCAGATCATCTTCTTTCGCTCTCCCTTCGACTTTCCTTGTATTGCTTTGCATTTTGTCAACTGTTTGTAAACTAAGGGCTGAGACAAGCCTCCCATGATTCATATTTTGGGAGACACCCAAAAAGCAGCATTCAAACATAAAAGGTAAAGGTTCCCTTGCTCGAAAGCCACGCTCCCGCTCTCCCGCTAAGCTGTGGAGTCTTGTGAGCAAAAACTGTACTTTGTGAGTCGCTGGCATTAAAGTTGTGAGCCAGCGATTTGGCTGCTGCGTAAATCAGTTTGCTCTGGAGCCCTCCTTCCTGAGCTAAAGCAAAAGCGTGTGAGCCGGAGGCTAAAAAACGGTGAGCTAGCTCACACTGGAGCTAGCTTGGAGGGAACACTACTTGTAATAGGCGAAAACTGTTGAAATCAGTTTCTGAAATTCAGCCCCACTCCACTGCTTTCTGCCCTGGGCAGCCTGTATACATTTTTTTAATGTTACTACCATCAAGTTGCAGCCAATTTATGGCAATCCCCATAGAGTTTTCAAGGAAAGTGACATTCAGACGTGGTTTGCCATTGCCTGCCTCTGAATAGAAGGAGCAGGAGATTGGATTTATACTCCGCCCTTCGCTCAGAGTCTCAGAGCGGCGTACAATCTCCTTCCCTTCTCACAGACTATTTCCCTTCTCCCAGATTAGAGTCCACGCTCTTAACCACTACACCAAACTGGCTCTCTGAGAACACTACACTACACTACAAGTGGTTAAGATGCTGAACTGCAGTATATATTTCACTCCACAGAAGGGCATTGGCCAAGCTGAGTTGTGAAAAATATGGCGTTGTCTTGAAGGATGGCCCTCATCAGTAGGAGGGGGCAGAATTCTGGGGTCCTAAGACATCCATTAAAAACATATGTGGATGGGCATGTCCTGAACACTTGCACAGGTCGCCACTTAAAAAGCACTCCTGAAGCAACAAATGTTAAAACTCCTGAGGCCACAACTGTGAAGCGGATACATAAATGCCAGCACATTCAACCCTGCTCCAACTTTTCATCTTGTTACAGAGTGAGGCTGTCAAGCTGGGGAACGGGGAAGGCAATTCAGAGAGTGTGGGAAACCTATCCATGCATGGATCATGCCATCTTTGTTCTAGATAGAAGAGTTCAATGTCTCATTTAGAGCGAGGCCTATGAAAAATGTAGCTAAATTAATATATATAGAAACAATAAGTAGATCTAAAACGAACAGCTGCAAATGCTGGGTATAAATTCTTTGCTTTCACCTGGCAGGACCGCTGAGAAAACATTGTTTGGAGCCACATATTGTAAGAAAGAAGAGTCTGCTGTGAGGCGGCAGACCTGAAAGCACAGGAGGGTGTCAAGAGACAACATTCCAGCATGTGCTTGGGGTTGCAAAGTTTTGGGGCCCACCATCCAGGAGGATGCAGGCAGCAGGAACCTTTGCCAAGCCCTGTTGGCAGAGGAGAGCATCAGCTTTACTAAGGGAAAGCAAGAAAAACAAAAACAGCCACCCTGGTTATGTGAGCCCTGAGCTGTGGCTTTGCTCCTGATTTTACTTGTCCAAAGATCGCTCCCCCCACCCCCCTGCGTTCTTAGAACTGAAAGAACTTATCACTGACCCAAGGTCACACCAGCAGCTGCATGTGGAGGAGTGGGGAATCGAACCCAGTTCTCCCAGATTAGTCCTCGCTCTTAACTACTACACCAAACTGGCTCTCTTAGCCTCTCTTATATAACATCTTCCCACTTTCTGGCAGCACCCATTCTAGGCTGCGAGCACAAGGGCTAGAGGAGCTCTCTGTGTTTTACATCCCCTGCCCTGTTTTAGCTTCAAGTGCTGTTTTGCTGGAGAACGGGAGGAGAGGGTTGATTATTAGAAGTCAGGATATTGCCTCTCCCTCTACACAGTCCTATCATCTCCCAGTCTTTGTAGCTGCTCCATCCCTGCCTCAGTTGGAAGGTGGTGGCAGGATAAGACCGGGAGAGAGAGCACACCATCAAGAAATGGACATTTTGAACTTTCTCCATGGGGAGCAATGGAGGTGGCACCTGAGGCACACTGAAGGGGGCAAGGGTGTGGCATGGGCATTCTGCCACAAGGGTCCTTTCTGCATTAGCCTGCCACTCCGGATTTTCTCAAGTGTTTGAGTTGAGGCAATTTTGCACTAAAATTCACATGCACCTTCTTTTTAATTCCAGGGTCCCCCCCCCCATCCTGCACTAAAATCACGTTCAACCTTCTTTTTATTCTGGGGTTTCCCCCCCTTCTGCATTGCATTACCTTCCTTCAGAGGTCAGCCTGGTTTCAGCCTGCTGTTGCCCCAGGTTATTTGGATGCTTTTTTTGCCAGTGACTTAAATTTCCTCAACTCAAACAACTGAGAAAATGCGGAGTGGCAGGCAGATGTGGAAAGGACCAAGGACTACTGCAGGAAATGGCAGTCCCACGTCAAATTCTCCCTGTTTTCTCCTGTAACAGGAGAGGCAGTTTGGTGTAGTGCTTAAGTGCGCGGACTCCATTCTGGGAGAACTGGGTTTGATTCCCCACTCCTCCACTTGCAACGTTGGGCAAGCCGTAGTTCTGATAAGAGCTGTTATTGAAAAAGAGCAGTTTCTGTCAAGAGCTCTCTCGGCCCCACCTACCTCACAGGGTGTCTGTCGTGGGGAGGGGAAGGGAAAGGAGCTCTGAGACTCCTTTGGGTAGTGAAGGGCGGGGTATAAATCCAATCTCTTCTTCTTCTAACATGTAGTGGAAGTTACCCCAAGTCTGGATATATCAGCATTATGCTCAACATCCGCTTCATATCACTGGCTTTTACCAGCAGGAAGGCAACAACGTGCCACATGATGATGATGTTAGGACAAACTGTGCTATGTACTATACAAAGAACTTAACTGAGCTACCATTTTTTGTGATGAGCCCTGTGTATCTCATAATAAGTAGTTCCACATTTAGGGGAATTTAATCCTGTGAAAATATAAATTTTCGCTATCGTATTTCTGAAGCCATGGGATATAATTGTCAGTTATTCTAATCCCATTCTGTGTATAACAAATGGCTTCATATATCGATAAGATTTTCTGCTCCCTATTGGTAAGGAAAGTTTGGACATATGTGGTCCAAACGCAACTTTGAATACTTAAAAGAAATGTTTCTATATAAAACTATAATGCTATTTCATCCCCCAATGAAGAACGTTATATTGTTTGGGTTTCCTTGGTGACAAATTGGATCTTTTAGGTAATAAAACAGAAAACTGAATTTGATATTATTCTGACATGTAATGGTTAGGTACAAATTTTGGGGATAAAGGTTCAGACTCTCTAGTTCTGGCAAAAGAATTTCCCATTCTTTAAAAAAATTGCTTATTCAGGATGCTAATAAGATGGAACTTTTTAATAACCAATTTTCCCCTTGGCCCAATTTACTTTCTCCCAGCTCAAGAAACCAGGTGTTGAAAGACGGGGATGTCTTTTATCTCATAACAAAGCACAATTCCTGTCTCCCAAAAGTCTATCTTTACTGTGTCACAGGTCAAGGTACAATTTCAGATATTGCCAATTTGTAGACTGCAGCTTCCCTGTATTACAAAAATGTGAATTATGGAGTCATTTTCCCCTTCCCTTTTTTATATTACGATGGCACAGAAAGCGGGAAGTCCTTCCATTGTCAAATCTATCGGCCCTACTTATCTGCACACAATTTCTTTGAACACTATGTCACTAAAAAGCTACGTTCATTACAGATCTGGAGTTTGAACATTGATGTATGAAAATATAGAGAGAGATGGTGCAGTTTAATGATTAGAATTTTGGACTATGGAGACTTGTGTTCAAAGCCCCACTGAGCCACAAAGCTTCCTGGGTAACATGGAGCCAGTCACCGCCTTTCCTTACCTCACAAGGTTGTTGTGAGGATATGCCATAAACTCCATCCTTTGGAAGAAAGGTGGGATAAAAATGGAATAAATGTATGTGTGAATCAGGACTTGGTAACAGACAGTTGACTGTATAAACCAACCTCACTGAAAAGCATCTATCTGAAGTTATGTGAGGCAATATCAAAATTTTGGATGTGGTTGTTAATCCATAGTCAGTGTACTCACATACGCAAACCATAACTTGATGCTGCAGTCTTTAGGTTTTGAACCTTTATGTGTGAACCTGCCATATTTTTAATTCAGTTTATTTCTATACAAGATCAGGTCAAATAATAGAATTAGAAACAATAAAAACTGCCACATGTAATACCAGACCAACAGAAAAGACTGAGATGTGCCATTATAATCCAGCATTTCAAATATTATAGCCTGTGGTCACACGGAGCATTAGCCACACTACAGAGACGGAAGATAGGCGGATTTTCTGGACGCGATCACACCGCAACATCTGGGAAGCGTTCAGCTCCCGTGGTGAACCCAAGGCTTCCCGCTGAAGATGCGGAGTAAAAAACTAGTAACTCCGAGGTACTAGTTTCCGGAAACTGCGGGGCAAGGGCTGGCGTCTGATCGCGTTTCCGGTGGTAGTCTGTGGCATCCAGCGCCCGCCCATGTCCCGTCGCAATCAGGTTTTTTTCCCCCAAGTCTCCACAGGATGTGCACAAGCACCCAATGGCGCATGCGCACAAAGAGGAAAGCAAAAGTCCTGCTGCTCCACAGAATCGTGCATGCCATTGGTGTGATCGCGCTGCGCCGCTTCTTTGCCGCGCTGCAGGATCGTCGTATGATCGCCACCTCGCCCCTAACCACGGGACCTCGACAGGACGTGTGAGCGGGCATCCGCGCGTTATTTTGCTCCGGGCCAAACTGCCACACCCACCCACCCCGCATTTTCCGGCCCGTGTGACCGGAACCATACAATCACATAGACACACACTGAGCTCTCTACAATCCTACTGCGCTAACAGCCCGGATTTCTGATAGCATTTTTTTCTCTTTTTTGCAGAGTCAAAAACCCCAAACATTTACAAATATCTACAGTAGGCAAAACCAAGAAACTCTCTACAGATGCGAGATCTGATGGCCTAAGGATACGAATGCAGACAGCGCTTTTTTAGAAAGACACAGAAATATTGCTGGAGAAGAAATAATAAACTGGTGGGAATAGTTAAGCCACCGCCTAGAGCTTCCCTTCCATACAATCGTTTTCCCAGCAGTAGGAGAGGACAATTATAACCAACGGATTAATTCACTCAGCCTCATTTATTGTTGGGAACCTCCTGGGCTGCAGAAACAATAATGCATTTCTCCCCGTCTGAGAGCACCGGCACCATTTTCAAGAGTTATTTCATTTCCTCGGGGCAAAGCAATTAGCATGGTGAGAGAGAGGGAAAAGGCACTAGGTTCAAGCATCCTCCTTCCTTTTCCTCTCTTCTTTTTCCCCTCCTGCCAATGCCACAAAAAATACCAACTAAAGAAGAATTACTTGACCAAGTGCTTGATGAGGATGTCCAGCATCTCTCGGTTTTTCTCTGGCAGTTTGTGAACAAGCGCATGCACGGCTTCCACTCTGTAATTTTGGTCGTCGGACTCTATTAAAATAAAGGGGGAGGGGACACGACCCGATTGGTTATTTTCAGAAATAATCAAACAAGTTATTGACTATGTTTATCACTGTCTTTCTTCCAGAAAGGACCCCAAAGCAGTTTATATTGTTCTCTTCTCCTCACAACAACCCTGTGAAGGTTGGTTAGGCTGAGAGGGTGTTACTGGCCCAGCTGGGTTTTCCTCCCAAATGTTTTACCTCTGCTATTACCCAAAAAGAGAAGTGCTGTGAGGGAGAGGGGGAGAACCTGCAGGAAAGGTCAGAAAGGACAGCTGAGGGGGGTGACCTGGGAAAGAGCTTTGTGTTCATGGACTGCTGGATATAACCCAATGGCTGTAAGGTTCAACCAGTGAGACCTTGCTGAGGGTGAGGCTGATCTCTCAAGTGAACGGAGCCTTCTCAGTGGTAGCCCCTCGTTCATTAATTCTCCCTCTAATCCAATGCTTGTATCTTAAGGGTCTGCTGACTTCGCCACTTGATCGTCAGAGAAGGACAATGCTGTCTTATGGGAATGGTTGTAAAGGTAAAGGTTCCCTTGCTCGAAAGCCAGTCGAATCCGACTCTAGGGTTGCGGTGCTCATCTCCGTTTCCAAGCCAAAGAGCCAGCGCTGTCCGAAGACGTTTCCGTGGTCATGTGGCTGGCATGACTAAACACCAAGGCACACGGAACGCTGTTACCTTCCCACCGAAGTGGTACCTATTTATCTACTTGCAATTTCTTGCTTTCGAACTGCTTGGTTGGCAGGAGCTGGAACTAGAGACAGGAGCTCACCCTGTCTTGCGGCACCCGGGTCTTGTACCGCTGAACTACTGACCTTCCACAGCCTGCAGTTCAGCGTCTTAACCACTTGAGCCACCGCAGCATTACCAGATGCATATTGTTCTCTCCTCCAGATGTTACTGGAATAACATGGGATGCATCATGGAGAAGCAGTTCCCATGTTACTACAGTAATATATGAATTAGGCCTGAGGATGCTGTGGTTGCCTCTGTGCCAGTCTTGCTCTGGTGAAAGCAGACTTGGCAAGGAATCTACTATTTTCACTCCATGGTTTACTTACTAACTGCCACAATGAAATCCTTGTGCAGCTTGTAGGTCATCAGCGGCTCTGTGAGACACCTGGATAAAAGACCGGGAGAGAAAATAGGGAATACATTAATGGATCTGCACTTGTTTTTAATGACAAATCATATAATCCTTTATAAAATATCAACACATAGAATTCACTGCCACAGGAAGTGGTGGCGGCTACAAGCATGGACGGCTTCAAAAGGGAATTAGATAAGAATATGGAGCAGAGGTCCATCAGTGGCTATTAGCCACAAGGTATAGATAGGGGCTCTGGGGCAAGTGATGCTCTGTCTTCTTGGTGCTTGGGGGGGGTCAACAGTGGGAGGGCTTCTAATGTCCTGACCCCACTGGTGGACCTCCTGATGGCACTGGTATTTCTGGCCACTGTGTGACACAGAGTGTTGGACGGGATGGGCCTTTGGCCTGATCCAACATTGGCGTCTCTTATGTTCTTAAAATGTCAATCAATATGAATATCAGTATTTGGAGCCCAGTTTCTGAAGCCTAGACCCAGCCACTGTTTTATCAGCTACTGAAGTTGGGATAATGCAGCAACAAAATTACCCCTAATAAGCTTTTGCTGTTTGGTAAGGATGCATTTATGTTCCAAGTGCAGGAAATTAACTGGGATCCCTGACAGGTTGGGAGCCCAGCAGCCAACAATGCATCCTGTATGTTTAGACTACACTGATTCCAAGTATCAAGGTTCAACATCAATATTCAACATTACAAGGTCATGGATGAGCTCTCATTCCATTGTTTTCAGAATTTCTGCCTTCAGAAAACCTTTTTCTCACCAACCACAGAAGAATACACCCAGCCACACAGGTCCGGGCAGATCCATGTTGTAAGCACAGAATGTTAACTGGGATCGCCGACAGATTCAAAGTAATAATGCAAAGCATCACTCCCCCAACTTATAGACTCCTGGATGTCTCCTTGTGCCGTTGTTTTCACACTTTCTAACTTCAGGGAACCTTTTCAGTATGGCCACTATGCTATGCATCCACCTGTTGTAGAATACACTCTGTTTACACAGGTCCAATCAGAGCCATTTTTAATGCTACTGTCTGAACTCAAAAGCTAGGAAATACTAATAAACTGCCATGGAACCCATATATTTTAATGTTCAACTATCGGTTATATAAAGTCTGAACAGAGGATTTCTGGAGGCATCTAGTGGTTGTAGCATGGAGATTTACCACTTAAGGATAGAGAAAACACTGCAGCAAAAGTTGAATTTACTCTCAGCCCCCTTGCGTGATAACAGCATCACATTCCAAATCAAGCGTCGAGAGCCAAGGCAAGCTCCTAGCTGAAGAAAGAAATGTTTGCCGCATACCACTTGCTGTCTTTAGACCTCAAGACATTATTCCCAGCCACAGTCGGGCCGACAGAGCAAATGCTTCCTATGCATTCCCAGGGAGCAGTTCATTTACAGTTTGATGCATGGAGAAGCTATCAGAGGAAGAAAGGAGGTGTTGCCTCCTTTCCCAGCCCTGATGCTTGAGATCCTTTTCAGTGGAGGTACAACAGATCAAATCTGGCATCGTCTGCATGCAAGCACAGATGTGCTACTCTGTGTGATGAGTCTATGGCAGAGGGCCAGGCGCTGTGCACTATGGAGCGAACTCCAATCTTGTATATTACTGACAGTAATAGAATGGGCCCTAAAAGGCATGAAAAAGAAATACGGATAATTAGGCAATATAAAGGAACTGAGAATCTAACCCGTGTCCTCACCTGAGGTAGTTCTTTAGCCCACTTGTTATAGTTTTATTGTCCCAAACTTCCAAATCAATGTCGATGTCAGGAGGAGATTTAGGAGCTATTGGAGAGAGCCACACACACACACATACAAACACACACACAGGGATTACATTACTCATTTGTTTTATTTGGAAAGAAGTAAATTAGCTGAAAAGAGTAGAAGCTTAATGTGCCACAAAGTCATATGGTGTCCAACTAGCACACTACACAAATGCAAACATCAGGGATGTGTACAGGTTTTTGCATACATCTAGGTTCCAAGATTGCAAAGTAAAGCTCCAGACATGGGAAGGATCACAGCTTTATAACAGAGTGCATGACTTGCAAGAAAAGGTCCTAGGTTAAATACCCAGTACCTCTGGACCAAAAGATTTTCAGAGGTAGCCCTGAGGATAAAGTCTAAGACAGTCTTTTTGAACCTGTGGGGAATTCTTTGGAATTCTGATATAGGGTGGTGGGCTCAACCACAAAATGGCTGTAATAGTAAGTTGAGTCAATCACAAAAAGTCCAGCTATATATCATTCTAATAGTAACTCTCCAACATTTCAGTCAGAAGCTCTGTCTAATGGGATTCCTTTTAATTTGCACAGACAATCAGAAGCCCTGCTAGGCAAAAGTCCCACCTAGCCGTGTCCACTTTCTAAAAGCACTTGGTGAGTGGTAGAAAAGGTGTCAGCAGTTCCCAAAGGCACCACATTGGGGACTGCTGGTCTAAGACATTGAAGAGCCACTTCTAGAAATGAACCAAATGATCTGACCCAGTCCAAATTGGCTTCTTATCTGACTGGGAAACAGCATGCACAACCCCAATGAAGGCACTGGGCAAGGATTTTTTGACGGTGGTGATGCCTTGATTTGGTAGGTGAGACCAAAGACAGGCCCACCCTCTCCTCAATGCAAAGAGGTGGCTGGCACCTACAGGGCTGGCATGCCAACCTTTATGACCCTGTGAAGACTGAAGGCATCTACAGAACTTTGACCGTGATTTAGGTTAAAGTTTATATCTCAAATATAGCATTTCAAAAGACAAAAACCCAAACCAAACCACCCCCCCACCCCCCGATATCAGCCACAATGCACCTGGAACTTAGGGTGGGATTTTAAAAGGCAGAAAGGAAACAAAGTTTTCTTTGGGCCATAATGGAAATTGAATTCAAAGCAATAGCTTAGGGAAAGAAGTTAGTGTGTATGCAAATAAGCCTGCCTGTCAACGCTCTGCTGTTTTCAGTATAACCTCTTACTGAAAGGTGTTTATTCAATCTATACCTCATTATTTGCCCATTTAAGCCTTGGAATTGGCAACTGGAACCTGGTGGGCTCAATCTGCCTGCCCCTTTGGGCTTCCAATCTGGTCTGCAGCATTTCCACTGACCCATTACATTCTTCCGTCATTTTCTCCTACACAACCATAGGTGAAAGCAAATGAAGGCAGGCAGGCTTCGTGGCAGGCAGTCCACCTTTCTTTGCATGCAGAAGGACCCAGGTTCAATCCTTGGCACCTTCTAGGTAAAGGCTCTTAAATAACAGGTGTGCGGAAAGACCTTTCTCTGCCTGAGACCCCTGGAGAAGCACTGCTGGTCAGAATAAACAACAGTGACCCAATAGTCTGAGTTGATATAATGTATGTTCACATGCCCATCAAACTAGTTTTGACCCCTTTCTCTCCTTATGGGTGACGAAGGCTTTGGCTGGGTTAATCTCTTATGCATTTAAGCCACTCAACTCTCCACTTACACACTGGAACAAGTGTTGGCAGCAGAGGAGAGGACTCGCGATGATGGGTTTAAATTAAGGGTGGGAAGGTACCGGCGGGATATTAGGGAACACTTTTTTAAAGGAAGGGTTTTGCAACAGTGGGATCAGCTGCCTCGGGAGGTCTTTGAGCAGCGGCTGGACCGACACCTGTCAGGGATGCTCTAGGCTGATCCTGCACTGAGGAGGGGGTTGGACTAGATGGCCTGTAGGGCCCCTTCCGACTCTGGGATTCTAAGCAGTGAAGGCATGTAATGGATAAGGACGCTTTGGGCAGGAGATCGTTCTCTGATGGACACCCCTGCCGGTTGTCACCTTCAGGGCTGGCGGGAGAAACAGCAAGGGGTGGATGTGACATCACTCTACATGCCAGTGTCACCTGGATGTGATGTCAGACATCAGCTGATGCACTAGAAACTCTATAATATTATCATAGAGTTTTGAGACTGTTGGCTGATGTGCTGAGGTCAGATCTTGGCTTTTGCCCCAATGAGACATCAGTACATAGTGAAACATCTTGTGCACCCCTTGTCATGTCATCAAAGCCCCCGGGGGTGCCAGAGAGCAGCCTGCCGTGCCCGGTAATGGAAGTGCTCTTCCAAAGCATCCACTTCTATGAATGGGAGGGGGGAAAGTTAAACCATACTTTGCCGGCATCTCTGCTTGCACCAGAACAAGTCCTGCAGGCACAGCCAACGTTGCTGGCTTCTCAGCTCTCAACCAATAGAAAACCAGACCTTGTTAAAAATCCGTTGCTGACGAGGCATCACCTGCTCTGTTCTTTTCACACAATTGTATACACAAAGGAATTTAACGCCGAGGTGTAAGTTGGGCCATCAGCAAATTATAAAGTTGCAATGCCACCCCCCAACGAAACTTACAAAATATGGTATTCATCAACTTCTGAACTTTGGAATTCACACCACCTATTCTGTACAACCCCAAGATTGTGATCCCTGCAAGGGCAAAACAGAAAGTAGCACAGTGAGATTTTGTTCTGAAGGATTTAGTGTCAATGGCTTACTGACCTATTTTTATACAAAACATCTGCACCTTTTCTCTCTCACTGCAGCAAAGTGTTTAGTGCAAAATTCAAGAGTTTCCCTTGCTTTTGTTGAATTCATATCTTGCTGTCCCATTAAGGCTACAGTTCAAAATGGACTTACCAGGGAATATGTTGCACCACACTAAAGGGGGCTTGCTTCTGAGTAAAGCAAGAATCAGATGGAAAATAGCTGCCCAATCAACAGCCCAGTTCAGCAAAAAATATGTGTGTTACGTGCTGTCAAATTGCTTCTGACTTATGGTGACCCTACAAATCAATGGCCTCCAAAACATCCTACCATTAACAGCAAAAATGCCAAGTGACAATGCTAATGACTGCTCAGTTGCTCAGTTTTACATTTCCATGGCAGTTCGCCATAATGTCTTCCATTCATTGCTTCATTATCGGATTTGATTCGGATTTGCTTCATCCATTCATTATCGGATTTGAAGCTGAGTGATTCTATGCAGTGAATTCACCACCATTCTCTATCCCTTCTATTCAGCTCAGTAGATTGTTCACACAAGTATTCTCAGGAATGCAGGTTTTATCTTCACTATCTGGTTTGCTACTGAGAGTGTACTTGAGGGAGACAGAGCCAACTCCAACTCTTCTGATGAAGTCACTTAATTTACTTTTGCAAAAAACATGTCTGGGCATAATGGTACCATTGGGCATGAACGAGAAAGGTAACTCATGTGGCATTCTGCATGTCTGGCATCTTGCCTAAATGGATTCATCATGCCAGCACATGCAGGGATTCATGCCCAGGTGTGTGCTGTTCCCACATGTTCATACGGCACACAACCCAATTTAAGCAAAATGAGAGAGATGTCTGATATCTCATGGGCACGTTTTTACACACAGTTTAACTCACACTTTAACTGAGCCTATTATCTATCATATTTATACTTTACATGTTGGGTGCACGCCAAAGCAGACATAATGGATGAAACCACCCACTACCAGTATATCCCAGAGCAATGATTTTTAACCTAGGTCACATGCACTTGCTGGGAAGGGTGATACAAATCTTGGGGGGCGTTCAGAACATGTGTGACAAATGGAGGGCATTTTGGTATTCAGACAGCAAATTTAAGGCACTAGCTCAAATCAAGACGTTGGTTGATGGCCACCACACACAAGGATCTCATACATTATATGCTTGAGACCTGCATACCATGTGCATATATCATAAATGTACCTATATAAACAAATAAATATACCTATATAAATAAAGTTGTTGGAGTGCTGTGTTTAGGATTCGATGATAATACTACATACCTGGTGAGTGACAGAATATTAGAAGCTAAGAATCAATGTCACAGTTTATTTAGGGGAAAGAAAATGTTGCGTAAACACTATAAAATTGTTTTTGCCAAAGAAACATCAGCCAGCTAGTGCCTTAATACATACCTCTCGTCTCCACAGCATGAATGCATTTTCTAACGAAGTTAAAACCAGCTTCATTTAGGAACACTGTCAAAAAGGGATAAATGACATGCAGGATTCTCAATATGTGTCATCATCCAGCACATCAGAAAGCCAAAGTATCTTATTCCACTGCAAGCGGAACTATCCCAATACCGGCAACATTTTCTTGATCAAAGTTTGTGAAGGGTTAATACTGAAGATATCTTACTGAGAGGGAATGGACAACTGATAGCAGATTTATAATGAACCACTATTATCAAGAGTTTAGAGTTACTTTTGCATGTTGATTTCAAGGGTGATTGTAGAAATGACTTGGATGGCCCAGGCTAGCCCAATCTTGTCAGATATCAGAAGCTAAGCAGGGCCAGCCCTGGTTAGTACTTGGATAAAAGACCACCAAGGAAGTCCAGGGTTTCTATGCAGAGACAGCCAACGGCAAACCACTTTTGGACATCTCTTGCTTCGAAAACCCTATGGGGATGCCATAAATCAGCTGTGACTTGAGAGCAAAAGGGGGGGGGGTGATTCAGGCATAAATTAAGAGCATTAGAAAGACCTTCTGTTCTGCCATTAACCCTGAAGGAGATGTATAATACAAATTATGGCAGCTGCCACTACAGAGATTTAATAGGTTCCAAGGAATGCATCAGTGTAACTGCTGAAAATGCTGAAGCAGTGGAAGCAGCTTCTTGTGGGCCCCACTCACTGGATGACCAGGGAACAGTAACTTACATCACAGGACCTCATATGCGGAAGGATTAAAAATGGAATAAACATTTTGTCACCTTGTTTAGCAAGCTGTGTGATGGTACCAAGCAATGCTCCTTCTAAGCTGTGGAGTCTTGTGAGCAAAAATTCTACTTTGCAAGCTACTGGCATTAAAGTTGTGGGCGAGCGATTTGGCTACCACATAAATTAGTCTGCTCTGGAGCCCTCCTTCCTGAGCTGAGACAAAAATGTGTGAGCTGGAGGCTAAAAAAACCTGTGAGCTAGCTCACACTAACTCAGCTTAGAGGGAACACTGGTACCAAGCGTGCAATTTCTAGCAATTTCTAGCAATTTGTGCACGTCTCAGGACATTAGTAATGCAGTCCTATCAGACTTTCACCAGGCTGAGCCCACTGATGTCAGCGGACTGGATAACTCTGCCTAGGGTTCGCCTATCTCTCTGCGTGATTGTGTAATGCATTGTTCCAGTGTAGAATTCTTTCCCCCATCCCTGGACTGGACTGGGGGAGACAGAATTTACACAGCAAGCGATTTGGCTACCACATAAATTAGTCCGCTCTGGAGCCCTCCTTCCTGAGCTGAGACAAAAATGTGTGAGCTGGAGGCTAAAAAAACTGTGAGCTAGCTCACACTAACTCAGCTTAGAGGGAACACTGGTATCAAGCGTGCAATTTCTAGCAATTTCTGCACGTCTCAGGACATTAATAATGCAGTCCTATCAGACTTTTACCAGGCTGAGCCCAGTGACGTCAGCGGACTGGATAACTCTGGCTAGGGTTGCAGAGCCAAAGAACGGGATACTTTGAAGGGTTCGTTATGATTGTTAGCTGCTATCAATCTAAAGAACACATTGAGAATTGCTCCTCATTTCATGCAAATACTCGCTTACCCAGTAAGCAGCATATTTTAGCATTCTCTTGCTCTCTTGTCTCTCAACCCATCTGCGTTTGACAGTTAGGCATACAAAGGTAGTCTGATGCATATCCAACATGGACCACCAGGCATGCAGGTAACCAGGCAGCATATTTATTTATTTATTTATTTATACCCCACCCTCCCCACTGAGGCAGGCTCAGGGTGGCTTACATAATTTTTTTAAAAAAATAATTTTAAAAACAGTTTAAAACCATACAAAATCTAAAGTGCTGTACATAAATCTTGTCTGTAAGACGGTGAAGAATAATCCAGTATTCTCCAAGCAGGTATCATGCAGTACTAACAAAGCCAACAGTACAATCCCAGGGAGGCTCTGATGTTACATTCAGATGTTATATGTGGCTTCTCAGTCAAATGCCTGGTGGAAGAGCTCCGTCTTACAGGCCCTGCAGAATTGTAGTAAATTCTGCAGGGCCCTGACATCCTCAGGGAGCTCATTCCACCAGCACGGGGCTGCCACAGAGAAGGCCCTAGCCCTGGTACTGGCCAGTCTGGCCTCTTTAGGGTCAGGGAGAACTAGGAGGTGGGTATGTCCCAGAATTTGAAGTACTTCCAAAACATTTTCATTAGCTCAGCATATGGCTTCTAAGAGCCGCTATCAGTGGTGGCACACGTCCCAAAAAGAGTGAAAGAGGGGAGATATGTGTCCTCACCCGGGACATATGGTGGCCAAACAGAGGGGGCCATTACAGGGTGCTGCTCCCTGGCATACATTTGCCGCATGTTTATAGTTTTGCTTCTCACAATTATAAGTCTCAGTTTCTGCCAGCTGCAGCACAAAGTGTGAGGTTACTGTTAAGTGGGGTGGAACTGCTCAATATGTTTTGCCAGAGCTCAGTCCTGTTAGGGACTGGAAAATATCCATGGTTAATTCCCATTTTTAGAGACGACGATGATGGCAGTGGTGCCATGAGGAATACAAAGGGCACACTCTGATTTTGTCTGGATTGCAAGATTGAGCACTTAACGCCAACCTATTCAAGAGGAAAATGCTGGGAGGTGAGAGTTACATCATGATGAGCCACTCGGAAAAAGTCACAATGTCAGGTTAAACTGTACATGACATCCCTGAGCAAAACTGGCTGTTACCAAACACCATTAGAAATACCTGGAGGAAACGGAACAGGACTTGTAATGGTCTTTAATTAGTGGTTTATTTCACTTAGGCATACCACCTCATTTTGTTTCTTTTAAAACTCCACAGCTCAATTTTGGCCAACTGGCTGTGTTAAAATGAACAAAATTTCAAAGCGATTCAGATGGGGACTATTTTGTTATGAAGGTAGCAGGCTCATTTTATACAAACCTTTGCCCATGTTGCAACCCCACAAAAGCAGAAGGAAAACAAAAAAAGAAGGAGGGGAACCAGTGTACATGAAATGGTACAAAGCACAAAAAACCGCTGGCTGAAATCACTAAAAGTGAATGAAATATGTATAAAAATAATATTTTAATACCAAGTTCAATAACACAACAAACAATATAACAAGATAAAGCCAACAGTAGTGCAGAGAAGTAAAGTCCCAAAAGTTTCAATGTCTCTCACTCCTGTTGTATTGTAATTCCATAGTCCACCTTGACATACATTCATCATAGAGTGGACTCATATAATTCTTTTTCAAAACCAATAGGCAGCAGTGGGACCCAATCTCAGTAGAAGCACATACAGAAGCCAGCTTATTCAATCACAAAGGATGATGGGTCACACTGCATCCTATTGGTTTTGAAACAGAATGATTCGAAATGCGGCAGCTTGCATCCGGACTACACGTCTCTATGGCTTATGGATTTCAAGATTATATGGATTTTCCAGGAACTATAAGTCAAGATGGACTGTGGAATTATAATACAACAGGAGTGAGACACATTGAAACTTTTGGGACTTTACTTCTCTGCACTACTGCACTACAAACCAGAAAACAAAACAAACAACCCCGCCCCCAAACCCATGTTTGGCTGAAAGAGAGTGACTGGCATAAAGTCACACAAGTTTCATGGCTGAATGAGTATTTGATCCTAGGTCTCTCATGTCCTACTCAGACAGTCCAACACTACACTGTTCCTGGCATTCACTCTTGATAACTGAATTTTGCTGTGTTAAATATCACTTTGTGGTATCTGCACTACCCCCCCATAAAAGCAGGATTATAGTTCACCTACAGTTAATTGCTATTTTTTTTTAAAAAAAAATCATTTAAGAAACCCTACCAACATGAATATGACTTAAAAATAAGAAGAGTGTTACTTATTACAGGTAACTGCACATAGGTAACTGCATTCAGATGGGTCTTATCCGTTGCCAGAAGGAAGGGAATGAGGGAAACCCTGATATAAAAACAGCATGTCTTTTATATATATTACACAAAATACAAAGGTATAAATATTTCATATATTTAATTTTTTTAAAAAAACTTACTTTCTTCTTTCTTGCTAATAATAGCTGGCAAAGTATAAATCTGAAAAAGAAAAAATAACAAAAACAGCATGACATTGAAAGGCTTTGTATGTCATACTTTGACCTCAATCTTCTTTCACCAGCTCAGACTGGGAATATCCCGTTTTATCTTCAGTACAGCTCCAAGAGATATCGGGACATTACCACATCCTTTAGCAACCAATAATATAAATCATTCATGTATTGTGTGAAAAAAGTACTTCCTTTTTGGTCAGATCTAATATTAACCTGTTTCATGGAATGACACATGTGTTCTAACACTGTTAAGCAAAGAGAAAAGCATTCTCTCCTGCCATTCTACATCTGTTCCTATATCCTAAATTTGTTGTCTCTCCTGTCCCTCCCTTTTTAAATGGTATTAGCCTCTACATGTGTGAAAGAGGCTACTATCTCCTAATATACTTAAGCAACATGGTATTCTCTCTGAGATGAAAAACCAGAAATGTACATACTTTCTTCATTCAAAGTCCCTCACAGAATTCTTGGGAGCATAATTTTTTAAAATATTTTTTAAAATGTGTGCACGCACACAATAATGCCAGAAAAATACATTAAGAAAAGTTTCCTTACTGGTTCTTTCCCATCCATAGCTTCCAGCCAGAGCTTCCTGTTGGATTCAGAAAAGGCCTGAAGTGTAATGATCCCATGTCTATTAAAAGAGAAACGAAAATATCCACTGATTTATTTTTCCTGTCACAACTATTTGAAGATGAAAGTACAAATCTGAGGGAGATGAGATGGTGTAAGCGACTCAGGCTGGACTCGCTGGATCCCATGAGCCTGTTCTGCTACCAGCAGTGTTCCCTCTAACCTGAGTTGGTGTGAGCTAGCTCACAGTTTTTTAGCCTCCGGCTCACACATTTTTTTGTCTTAGCTTAGGAAGGATGGCTCCAGAGCAAAACTAATTTATGCAGTAGCCAAATCGCTCACTCACAACTTTAATGCCAGTAGCTCACAAAGTAGAATTTTTGCTCACAAGACTCCACAGCTTAGAGGGAGCCTTTTCTACCAGTTCTGCTTTTTTTTTGGTGCAAGGAAGCTCCTGCTTGACATGAGGCTCTTCTACACAGTGGAAGAGCCTCATGCTTGAGAGGACGTCTCCTTGCGCTGGAGGAAAGCACCATCAGTAATGGAATGGATCCATGGAATCCGGCCCAACTTTCCAGTCAAGCGCTCATCAGCTGACCAGTTCACTAAACAAAAGTTATTGTCATATGACCTAAGCAGTAGAGCACTCTGGGGTCAAAAACTGAACAAGCTAAATAAAATGGTGGAACAAACTGGGTCGCAACTTGTGACAGCTCTAGAAAGAAGTGAGGTAACGCAAAGGCCACAAGTGGGAGATTTTTTTGGGGGGGAGCCATTAACCCCTGCCTTGCCCCCCTTCTGTGCCAAAGGAACTAATGCTCCTTCCCTCCATTCCTCTTCCTGGCTTCCTTAAAACAGAAGCTGCTCACCCCCAGCAGGGCTTCTTGAACTCCTGAGGGATGCTGGGGAAGCCCTTTTGGGTCCACACAGCTTGTTTTGCTGTGCTTAAAGACACCAAGGGAACAAGGAGGGAAGATGGCATTAGGCTGCTTCAGAGGCAGACACCCCTTGTATAGATACCATCGGCCAAAATTAACCAGTGGATTAAAATTGTGATGGGTCCTCTTGGTCAGAAAGAGCCATGCTGAGGAGGCCTCCTCAAAGGAGTTTAATTGGAATGACACCAGGGTTAAAATAAATTACATAAATTGAAGGGGGAAAAATCCCTATTAATTTTCTTTTCAGACAAGATGTTTTTAAAGTAGAAGGGGAAAATTTGTTTGGATAGGCTATCCCTTCTTCAAACTCACATCTGCAATGATGGGGGTGCTAAATGGGAACCTAAAAATCTGTCTGGACAATTCACAGGTGTGCACAAAGGTGAAAGCCTCCTGAGCCATTAAAGAGACCTTAGATCTTCACATTGTGCTTTTGCTGCAATTTCATCACTTGCTTTATGGCAGATTCATAGCCTGGTGACTTACAGACACAGACAGATTCTAGTTTTGCTACCATTTACAGAGAGTGACAGGGCCAGAAAACCAAGCCAAGTGTCAGCTTTTATTTATTCATGTTGTTTCTTTAGTTAATAAATATTTTAGTTAAGAACAGAAGTGTCTGTTATTGGACTGATCTCACACAGCACCAAGTCCCACCTCTGATCTCATCATTTTTCAGAACACCATTCATCCATCTGTATACTGAACTAACCACCACCACCCGGCGCAAAATCTCATCCAAAGAATCCCAATTTCTGCGCCAATGAAAACCAACTGGGCAAATGAGTTCAGTTTTGGGTGCTGTGCTTTTAAAAAGGACGCTGATAAGTTACTGAGGGTTTGGAGGAGGGCAAGAAGGATGATTTATATTGCAGCAAGGTTGAAAGAACTTGGTAGGTTCAGTTTAAATGAGAGAGGATTAAGGTGAGATAACAGTCTTCGTATATCTGAAGGGCTGCACCTCAAGACGGCAGAAGCTTGCTTTCCGCAAGCCTAGGCATAATGGGTTCAAATTACAGCAAAGTGTCATTTAGACATTTTCCAGTTATACAAGTTGTTTATCAGTGGAATATACTGACTTAGGAAAAAGTAGGCTTTTATTTTTTTAAGCTTCTATAGAGACTGGATAGCAATTTTCATCTGAGGATTCTGAAACTAGAGATGTCCTGTATCAAGTAGGATGTTGCGATAAATGACCCCTTAGGGACCCTGCCAGTTTTACAGTTTTGTGATCCTGAGGTACACCTGCTCTTTTTTAAAAAAAAACACAAAAAGAGCAAAATAAATAAATAAATCCTACAGGCTAAGACTTGTTTCCAGGCACAATTCTTAGATTTGTTTCCAGGAACAATTATTGCTGGCCTTGACCTTATGTGGCTTGAGACCAACACATCTGAAGGGCTGCCTAAACCCTTATGAACTCAACTGATAATCACAGTCAACTTTGGAGGCCCTGCTTCCACTGCCTCCACCTTCTGAGATTAGGCAGGTGGCAACCAGGAAGAGGGCCTTCCCCATCATGACACCAAAGCTCTGGAACTCTCTCTCCAGGGGGATTCGCCTGCCCCCTTTTGTTTCCATTTTCCACCGGAGGCTGAAACGTTTTTTTGTTCTGTTTGGCATTTCCTGAAGGATCCCTCCTTCCTAATCAATGTTTTTAAGCTTTGTAGGCATTTTAACTCTGTTTTTAACTCCTTTAAAAATTGTTTTAATGATGCATGCTTGGGAGGGGTGTGATTTTAATGGCTCTATAATGCAGTTTTATCTTATATGTTTTAAATTGTTAGCTGCCTTGGTGGTCCGTATAAGGACAGAAAGGAAAGAGATAACTTTTGTTAACTAACAAACGAACGAATGAACGAACTAACTAACTAGATCCCCAAGAATACTGCCTGGGTTTTGGATTTTCATCAGAAATGTTTGTATTTCCAAATTAATTTTGCACCAAACTCCGCCCCCCCGCCCCCCAAGAATTTTGTACCTACAGTTACAGAAACAGAGGTGGGGTAGGGTGCAGGAGGGGCTGGAAGAAGGAAGTGGAGCAAGTGGAATGATGTAGGAAACAGAAGCTACAGAAGAGAGTTGGAACTACTGCCTAGTGCATCTATTATGTAATAATGGCTCAAGTCGCTTAGATAAAACACAGTACAGCAGGAGGGAGAGCCCCATTCTCCTTCAACGTATAAACAGTGCTTTCTCCTCAAGATAAGGGCTGGGTTACGGGTGGAAATTTCTAAGCTTGTGTCTGCTGAGCTGCCAAATGAAGAGGGTGTTTCTTCCCTGATGTATTGCTTCTTAATTCCAGGGCGCCTTTCTGGCCATTATCTCACTGCGATGTTTAGAAACCAATTTTGAATGAAACAGTAAATATTTATTTATTTATTTAGGTATTTTTACCCCGCCCTCCCCGCAGATGTCAGGGGGTGTGGCATATGCTAATGAGTTATGCTAATGAGTTCCCCTAGCTCTTTTTCTACGAAACGACCCCTGCTACTAACAACAATAAAGTGCTTTCAATATCAAGATGGTCTTGGGTGATTAAGATGGTATGATTAAGATGGTAATTAAGATGGTAAATAGTGCATTTTCATTTCTGCAGACGAAAATCTCTGTATTTACTCTTAATAATGCAGCACAAATACTTTAATAGACACTTGGGGGGGGGCATAGATATAAATCTCAAACCTCTCAACTACTTCAATGTCAAAACAGAAGCGTTTGTCAATTGAATCTGTTTTCCTCCGGATGCAAGATTTCAACTTGAATATTTCTGGTGTACTTGGGACGAGACCATTCTGAGAAGGGGGAAAGAAAAAAAAAGGAAATTGGAATGTGAATCATCACGTGTACAGATTTCTTGCCTTCTTACACAGATGTTCAGACCACAGTCCTGCCACTAGTCAAGAGAAGAGATGGGGAATAGCTAGTCTTCCCACCTGTCAGTTTTTCTTGCATTAGTGAATATGCCACAACAACATGATTACATCCAAGTAAGAAGAAGAAATTCCCACACATTTTCATAAAATAAATTAAAATACATGATAACCATTTAAAATATCTCAAAATAACACCATGATAATACATCTCACAATCCAATAGCTAATGACCCAGAGTGAAGCAACTGGTATGCGTGTCAACCATGCTTACATCAGTATGCCTCATCATTATCTTTATGGCAGCAACATCAGCAACAAACCTTGCCATTCAGAAACCTTGCCATATCTGCCAGTAGTAACACTAGTTTATCCTGCTGTGACCTTCCTGGGAAACCAGATAGAATGGTCGTCACAAATTTTTTATGCTCAGCCTCAATCTTGGACACTGGCAGAGGTCATTTGGGGGGGGGTCGCGGGGGATCGCAGTTCCCCTGGGTGAGGTACGGGGGGCGGGGCACATGATGAAGCCCCGCCCCCTGCTTCCGGCCGCCCCGCTTCCGGCCCTCATTCAGCCAGGAGGAGGCAGGAGAAGAGGGAGGGTAAGTTGCTTCCTCCCTGCCTCTCCCCACCTCTGCCTGCCTGGGGCCAGGGAGGGCCTTCGCGGGGCTTCCTTGCACTCCCGCAGGCCTTGCAGGTCCACCGCCGGGCTCCTCATGGGGCTCGGCAGTGGAGCTGCAAGGCCGGCGGTGGCCGAGACCATTGGGGGCGGGGTGTGTGGCCTTATGACACACTTCCGGTGATGTCAGGGGGTGTGGCATATGCTAATGAGTTATGCTAATGAGTTCCCCTAGCTCTTTTTCTATGAAACGACCCCTGGACTGGAATGTGACATGGGACAAATTCCCAGTGGACCTATAGTCACAAGAGCAGACTCTTTCAGTATATGAAATCCCACTGAAGCAGCCTTCTAAGACTGGAAGTGGTAGACTTTCTAGGTGTGCCTCAGTGGAAGCCTTTCTGCACTCATAATTAATTATATTGGTACCGTATGGAGGGAGTAACTGCCTGTAAAGCTGGGTTGTTCTCTAGGTGTCTACTAATCAAACACCGGTTTGAGCACTCTGGCCATACAGTCTTTGTTTTACTAAAAGTTAGGTTGCGTGAAAGCCAAGGCTAGCCCTTAAGTTCAACTATTAATTGAAACGTCTATCAGTTTTTATGTGTCTTTAGGGAGTATTTGAATTGGAGTCTAATTTTACCAGTTTCACCGTTTCAGAACTTGCCTCCATCCATTTGTTTTACATGAGTGGTTCCCAAACTTTTTGAAACCACCACCACCCCTTTGGTTCCGTAAACTCATCCCCAGTGCCCCTTACCCTACCCTGTAAAGCATTATTTCGAATAGCAGTTCATATGACCCACTAAGGAAGGTAATAACAATAACATTCAAAACAATAACATTTATTCATACTCTAATTTTAAAAAAGTTTTATTCAACAACATTGATGAACTGGATCCAGTGATACCAGCTTTTCAAAGTCTTATAGTCACTTGGCAACAATCTTAGATACCACATTTAGTAACTACATCACTAGTTGTTGTAGATTTTCAGGGCTGTATAGCCATGGTCTTGGCATTGTGGTACCTGACGTTTTGCCAGCAGCTGTGACTGGCATCCTCAGAGGTATAACACAGAAAAATGGAGTACTCTCTGTGTCAAGGTGAGAAGAAAAATGGTAGGCAGGTAATTTATATCTACTCAGGAAAGTGGGGTAGGGCTGAGTCATTCTCTTGTCTGACTTCCCCAGGCTGTGACATGGTAATGGAGGAGCTTTCCTGAGGAGGTTCTTCTGCATATGGATTGGCTGTTGAAATTAATTTTATCTGTAGTGCTGTTGTAAGATATAGAGCATTTTGTGTTTTTCAGGACAGGAAATCATGACCTGTTTATTTTTAAACTCTCTTCTGTCCTGTTGAAATTGTTTTTATATTTATGAATTTCAATGGCTTCCCTGTATAATCTGACATACTAATTGGATCTGTTGTCCAGCCTTTCAGTGTATTGCAATAAGATACTGTGTCCTGTTTGAGTTGGCTATGTTCAGCCACTGCTGATTTTTCAGGTTGGCTGAGTCTGCAGTGTCTTTCATATTCTTTTATTCTTGTCTGAATGATACGCTGTGTGGTCCCAATGTAAACCTGTCCACAACTGCAGGGTATGTAGTATACTCCTGCAGAAGTGAGGGGGACTCTTTTGTCTTTTGCTGATTGTAGCATCCAAACATACAATTCACCATGGAAAAAGGAATCGAGGGTAAACTCCCATTTCTAGATATTGTGGTCATCCGCAAAGCTAACCTTCAATTTGGTCTCAAGGTCTACAGAAAACCAACTCACACAGATCATTATTTACATAAAAACACCAATCACCACTCTCAGCAAAAAAGAGGGATAATTAAAACATTAGTAGACCGTGGAAGACGGCTATGTGAACTGCACTTTCTCAATGATGAACTAAATCATCTAAGTCACTCACTTCAAGCAAATGGCTATTCCAAGAATGAGATCAGAAGAGCGATTAAACCAAAGGTAAAACAAACAACAGAGGAAAAACAGTCTCCCACAGGAAAAGTGTTTTTGCTATATATCAAAGGAATCACTGATCAGATGGGAAAACTTATGAAAAAACACAACCTACAAACAGTATTCAGACCCACCATAAAAATACAACAGATGCTACGATCAGCAAAAGACAGCAATCCCTCTCGTTCCTCCCTGCCCGCTTCCCAACAAATCTATAGGTGACAAATTCCTTCTTAGAGGTGGCATTTTTCCTTCTGTCTTGTACAGGAAGGAATGCCTCTTCAGACATTGTGCCTGCTGTATTAATTTTAACACACCATCTGGAAACAAATCAAATGCTTTTTCCCCCTTCAAAACTATTTTATTCATATGAACATATTTACATTTACCTGACAAGTTGATTAATCCGTTTAAGAAAGGTTTAAGGTTTTAGTCCAACAGTAGAATAATTTTGAATTTGCAAATTCAAAATTATTGTACTGTAGGACAAATCAGCAGACCAGGAAAAAACCCCAATCTTAATCATATCGATGTATACTGCTATTAGAAACTATATTCTTGGAATTGGTTCATTTCTTCCTGACTTAAAATTCATGGCTGAAAAGTGACAGCAATCCCTCCCCAATTTAATGACATTTTGGGATTAATACTTACTACTTTCCCCCCAGACTTTGTTTCAGAAATACTCATTGTGAACGTTTTTGTCCCTTTGTCATAAGTACAGTAATGCTTTATCCAGGTGAATCCAAGAGGTCCTGGGGGGGGGGGAGAAGAAAGATACCTAATTTCAATTAATTGGAACAGATTCTTTGTAAACAAAAAGTTTAAGACATAATAAATAATTCATTTTGGTGCCTATTACATTCCTAGGGCCCTGGCATTTATTTAAAATTTCAGGCTTCACTCTTGTGGCATGTATGCAGGTGAAAATGTAAATTTTCAAAGAACAGATATTAAGTTCCAGGAGTTTGACCTCAAACTGCTTCAGGTTGTCACTTTCAGTATTAGCACCTAAAGCTCTGGAATAGCAAAGGATTAACATAAGAAATTATGTCCTGCTGGATGATACCAAATGTTTATTTATTTCTATTTGTATCCTGCCAGGGCTGGTCACAACAATAAATTACAATCATTAAAACAGCTAAAGAAATAAATACCAGAACAATAAAAAGTTAAAACATTTAAAAGGTAGGCATTGCAACAGATTACACGTTCAGCAGTCCTAATAGCTGGGAGCGACTGGGCCGTAGCTGAACCATAAAGACCTTATTAATGGCAGTATAACGTTACCAGATTGTAGCAGGGAGGCCAATTGGTGGACACCCGCCGCCTCAAGTGAAGATCTGGCAAAACAGCTCCATTTTGCAGGTCCTGCAAAACTGTAGTAGGTCTCACAGGGCCCTGATCTCTCAGGAGCATGTTCATGTTCATGTTCCACCAGGACGGGGCCAGGGTGGAGAAAGCCCTGGCCCTGATTGAGGCTAAGTGAACATCCTTCGGGCTGGGGACAACCAGCAAATGACGGTCCATGGAGCACAATGTTAACCCAGTCCAATATTCTGTGTTCAGCTCACTGTCAGCTATGCTGCCATGGGGGTTGGGGAGTTCATTCTGTGTCTTACTAATTGCTGTTGCATTCCTATCTCTGCTGTTCTGCCTTGGCTGAAATGCTTATCTCTACAGATGGGCAGGAGGAAGTTGTATTGTCTGGAAGTCTCTGATGTACCGTGAGAGACTACTGCTTCCCAGCTTTTGCCACCTAACGGTTTCTTAGCTTGTCGGTGTGCGGGAGGGTATCTAATTGGCCATGCCATGGGGGGGGTGCATACGAATGCCCTATATCCTATTATGCTCCATGGGCTGCTGCCATTCTTAACAGTGCCTGCGTTACTGCATCTATAGCTTTGCAATAAAAGTATAACCGTTCCTGAATGTGTGTACTTCGTTGTAAGCTGTGGGTTCTGACACTCACTAAGGAATTTACAAGCAAGACAACAATTCTTCCCTGTTGTTTATCTCCAGACTTTGGTGTTCAAGTGTAAAAGGTAAAGGTAAAGGTCTCCCTTGCTCAAAAGCTAGTCAAGTCCGACTCTAGGGTTGCCGTGCTCATCTCCGTTTCAAAGCCGAAGAGCCAGCGCTGTCTGAAAACATCTCCATGGTCATATGGCCGGCAGGACTAAACACCAAGGCGCACGGAACGCTGTTACCTTCCCACCTAAGTGGTACCTATTTATCTACTTGCAATTTCTTGCTTTCGAACTGCTAGGTTGGCAGGAGCTGGAACGAGAGACGGGAGCTCACTCCGTCATGCGGCAACTTGGGTCTTGAACTGCTGAACTACTGACTTTCCACAGTCTGCAGTTCAGCGTCTTAACCACTTGAGCACTGCAGTGTACATGACCACTAAACATGGAGGCTCTATTTAACCACTATGGCTTCTTATAAGACAGAAGGCTGTTGACTGACATTGACATAATCCTTTCTACAGTCATCAAATAACCAGTTAAAACAGTATATGTTAACAGAGTTCAAGGACACAGTTATTTTGACACACAGAGGGAAACGTTGGTAAATTTAGCCCCCAAATATTTGCCAATCATTACAGAAGGCCAACAGAAACAACACCAGCAATACACCCTGTACAGCGGAACTCTTGCTCTCAAATGACCACAGAAACATATATAAATCACCTCACATGTCTCCCTATCACCACTTATCAAGCAAACAGGCCTCTACTTGTCATGTAAACAGAATAAAAGTGAGATGACAAACCCCCAGCCTTCCTACTAAGCACAGCTGGGAAAAATGAGGACATTTCATGGTGTTCTTCAGGCTAATTTTGTCAACAATGCCAGTTAACTTTTTGGGTGGTAAATGTTCCCAGCAACTTCTCAACAGTCCACTGTGGAAAGCTAAAACTAGGATGATAGTGAAATGGAAATGGAGAAAGAGAGACAGAGAGAGACAGAGAGAGAGAGAGAGAGAGAGAGAGAGAGAGAGAGAGAGAGAGGGAGAGATGCCTTCGATTCTGAAACAGAGATTATGACTGTGTCATTTTTCCCTCTTTGGCCAAAACTAATGATCTAATCCTTTCCTATTCAGCAAGAGCATGTCAAGTTGGCCTTTCACTGTCTAATGCAGCACCGCATGTGCCCAGCCTTTCACTTTGTTCTTGATCTCCTGTTAATAATGCCCAAGGTAATTTCCGCATAATAGGGTTTTTTTTTTCTTCCTCTCCCTCTTTTCCAAGTAGCTTTTTATTATAATTATTAATCAATGGAAAGGTATGAAGGCTGTCCAAAGCAATCAGCCGTTGTTACAGAAGAAAACAAATTAATGTCATGAAAACAGGATGGGTGGGGAAAGAGACTTTTCTTTTGGCTCCTGTGTGTAAACAGGGGCAAAGGACAAAATGCCACAGTGAGAGAGAAAGCTAACCACTTCAGGTGGCGTTGTCACTGAACACATGATTTTAAGCACAAAATCTGTGGGTCAACAAGGCTGGCTTACATTTTAGAGTCATTGCCCTAAAAGCATCTTGCCAGCAGCAAGTTATTCCTCACACACTTGTGTTTTTGTGTCCTTACCGTATGATGCGAAGTCAACACACTGCAAATTCTCCCTGTTCCCACTGCACATCAATAGCTGATCACATTGATAAGAGCTTGGAAATACACTACTGTTTGAGGCTGGTAGGCCAACAGCGAGGACAGACCCAGTCTGAAATGCTGGCTGTTTGGCTGATCAAGATACTTTCTAACATCCCTTTTGTATCAATTAAACTTATTTGGGTCCTGCCCTTCTTACAAGCAGATCAGGGCAGAATGCAGGATTCTTCCCTTCCCATTTTATCTTCACAACAACTCCAAGATGTGGCCAAGTGCAAGGTGATGCACATTGGAGCCAAAAATCCTAACTATAAATACACATTGATGGGGTCTGAACTGGCAGAGACTGATCAAGAGAGAGATCTTGGAGTTCTAGTAGATAACTCACTGAAAATGTCGAGACAGTGTGTGACTGCAATAAAGAAGGCCGATGCTATGCTGGGGATTATTAGGAAGGGTATTGAAAATAGATCAGCCAATATCATAATGCCCCTATATAAATCAATGGTGAGACCTCATTTGGAATACCGTGTGCAGTTCTGGTCACCACACCTTAAAAAGGATATTATAGCTTTGGAAAAAGTGCAGAAAAAGGCAACTCGAATGATAAAAGGGTTGGAACACTTTCCCTATGAGGAAAGGTTAAAGCGCTTAGGGCTCTTTAGCTTGGAGAAACGACAACTGAGCGGTGACATGATTGAGGTTTACAAGATTATGCATGGGAAAGAACAGGTAGAGAAAGAGGTACTTTTCCCCCTTTCTCACAATACAAGAACTCGTGGGCACTCCATGAAACTGCTGAGCGGTCGGGTTAGAACGGATAAAAGGAAGTACTTCTTCACCCAAAAAGTGATTAACACATGGAATTCACTGCCACAGGAAGTGGTGGCGGCTACAAGCATGGACGGCTTCAAAAGGGAATTAGATAAGCATATGGAGC